CAATGCTACAAGATCACCCACAAGGTGAAAAATACTGAACTTCGAAGGGTCGTTAAGGGGTGCACCAGTGGTATCTCCATAACCCCTTAAGTCAGGCGCAACAGCACGGTAACCACGTTCAGCTAAGTAGACCATTTGGTGGCGCCATGAGTACCTGTTGCGGAAGATTGGGGGTTATATAGACAGTCTACCCTAACGCATACAAGCATTAGTATGTTGCTTCTACAGCTCGAACCCAGGACCTTACAGGTCATATGGAAACAACTTTACCGTTGTTACAAGGCTCCCCTTAATAATCCTACAAAAAATGATTTCCCAAACCTACTAGAAAACAACAACATACTCACTATAATCCAACAAAGTGGGATCTGGAGAGGGTAGAGTATACGCAGGCCTTGTCCCTACCTCAAAGGTGGAGAGATTGTTTCCCACAGACCCTCGACTCACCAAAACATACTACAATTTCACTATGGTGTCGCTCTAGCAAATATATGTACTATGATTACATTGTGGTTGTCATTGTTAATTTCACTATAATTGATATCATTTTAAATACTAACACTTCAAAGTTTTAAGGGAAAAGGGTCTGGATATAGCCCTCAACTTTGTCATTTAGAACTGATATACCCCTACTTGTAAACAAATGGCTCACATATACCCTTTTCCTCTAACAGAAATGGAAAAAAAATTTAATCTAAATTTTTATTATTTTTTTCTAAAAAATATAATCTCATATGAGTAAATTTAATCCTCGTCAAACATATTTTTTTGACTTTTTTTTATTTCAATGACTAATTTATCATTTTGTTAATCAAATTTATTTATGTTTCACTAATATACTTGTAAAACTTATTGTAGATGACCAAATTTTTTCTTCGAATACGAAATTAAATTACTATACACAAAAAAAAATAGTTTAATTTTTTATTCTTTAAACTAAGGAATGAAAGAAAACAACAAAATAAGAATAAGAAATTCAAATAATTATAATAAAAGAAGTCAAAAAATAATTTATGTATGAAAAAAATTAAAATATACCTTGAACTTTGATAGAAGAATCATATATACCCCTAAATAGTTTTTTTAAAAAAACTAGAAGTAATAAATATAAATTTAAAACTAATTTTTTAATTTCCGTTAAATGAAGGGTATATGTGAGCCATTCGGTAACTACAGGGGTATATGTGTGCCGTTTGTATAATGGTAAGGGCATATATGAGTCACTTTTATAACGAGGGGTATATCAGCTCCAAATGACAAAGTTGAGGAGTATATCAGACCCTTTTCCCAAGTTTTAAAAAGGTTGAATACATTGACATTGAACCAAGTGTTGTTATAAAGAGTTCATATTCCCTTGTCTCCTCAGCCCTTTCTAGTTCTTACTATCCTTGATTTCCCTATAGTGTAATTTGTTATATTTATGATTTTTTGCTTAGAATTTGGTTCTTACGACGACATATCCAGTATAATCCTATGATTTTACTCTTACTTAAAAGTTAGGGAGGTGGTTCCGTCAGACCTTCGGTGCACCAAACCTACTAGGAAACAACAAACATACTCGATGTAATCCTGCAAAGTGGACTCTAAGAAATGTAGATTGTATACAGACTTTATCCCTACCTAAAAATATAACTTACGATTTATAAAATTATTTAAAGATTGAAGCAAGGAGTACCAGAGCTCAGGGAAGCCATGGATGAAGAGGATTGTTGAGCCTTGGCCTAATTCTGCTATATGCATATTTAAGCCATTTACATTTACCATCTTGTGCTCTATCTTCTCCATTTTTGTTTGTTTTTTTCTTACTCTTGTGTTTTCTATAGTGGGCTTTTATTAGCCTTTGTACATGTGGTTGGCAGTTGCCTGTTATAAATACAAGTAGTTGCACCAACTTTCTACATAAGTCAATGTAAACTTAAGGTCCGGTATCAATATTGGAGCCTGATTAAATTTAAACTCGCACCGGAAAGTTTCACATTGGGGGTAAAGCGCTTTTTATAAACGCGACTTTGTACTCAATGGGGCTTAAACCTGAGACATCTTGATTAAGGATGAAGAAGTACTAACCACTCCACCACAAGCCTGATTGGTTTTAAGTTGAGTATTTGAATATGTGATGAGATTTATTTTTTTAAAAAAAAGTTTTATGTGTATTTTAAACATTTATTTATATAAATAAATTAATTGTTTAAAATATGTTAGCTAATCTCGATAAATTGTAAAAACTACTTAAGTTTGTTATTATTGAGATCGATGTGTATAATGAAAGGACGAACATATTTTATGTGATTAATACACTATTGAGATCATGCCCTTTTAATTTTTGGCTAGTAATTAGACATTTAGTTGGTGTGGTTGTCACTGTATGCCCAATAATTTTTGGCCTGTGATTAACATTTAGTTGTTTTTATTATCAATTTCACTTAAGTGATAAAAAGTGATTAATTTGATTGAGCATCTGAATATGTGATAAAGTGTTTAAATTAAACTTGTTTTATGTATATATTCTTAATATTTATTACGTGAATAATATTACTTAAAATATGAAAGTTTTTTTTAACACACGTATATATAAGGTTTTTTACTATCATGGTGATGTGTATAATTAAAAGACGACACATATTTTATGTCATTAATTAACTTAGACAGTTGAAATAAGTGATTAACGTATTTATTTTTTTTAATATTTAATACTTCCTCCATCCAGAATTATTTGTCATGTTGCGCTTATCGAAAGTCCAAATGTAAATTAAATCACATTAATTCGATATTTTAAACAAAAAAGTTAGATATTGCATACTAATATGATGAAAAATTACATCTTAAAATATTAGTCAAAGTTTTTATAATTTGACTCTAAAAATAAGAACCATGACAAACAATTTCGGACGGAGGGAATAAGTAAATAAAAATATTATTATTCCAAAAAAATGATACTCTATATATCAATTTTTCTTATTTATTAATTTCCTCATTTAGATAGTACAATATTAATTTGTGGAGCAAATTAAGTCAAACCCCACATACAAGAAAGTCACTAAGATTATAATTCTATCATACTTTATAATATGGCTAATCCCAACAACTTGTAACTCAACGGATCTCGATATTATTGCATTATCATTTCAACAATATACCTCAAATGATATTAATAATGTTCGAATTGTGTATATTAAATATCTCATTAAGGAATTGTTAGGTTAACGATTCATGTTATATGGTGGAGGTAGAAGTATCTTAATATTAAAGTGCATGGTATATATATTAGTGGAGAAAATCATCAAAATGATCCTTAATGTTAATGTGTATGTGTTGCTTTATTTTAAGTCTTAATGTATCAAAAAAAAATGTTATATTTAACGGCAAGTTTCACGTGTGACTAACAAAATATAGTATTGTTATTTCCTTTATAAGCTCAAAATAAATAAAAAAAAACCATGACTACCATCATTTTTTCTAACAAATATTATTAGCTAAACATATACATTAGTTACTATCTGTTATTTTGGTTGTAGTTTATGTTTTGTTACTATTTGTATTGTTTTGTCGTAGTTTCTGTTCTGTTTCTATCTGTATTGTTTTTGTTTTGTTACTGTTGGTTGTAGCTTTTATTCTGTTATTTTTGTTATTTGTCTATTGTTTCTTGTATTTTCATTACTTTCTTGTTGTGGGACGGCATGCTTTGATTGTTCTTCTTGTATCAGAAAAAGTTGGCCTACACTCTATTTTCTCCAGATCCCATTTTGTAGTTATGTTGTTGTATTTGACTTAATCTTTATATCCCTCATGTCATGATGGCCTAAGTATAGCGTGGCCGGAATGACTTAAGAACTAGAAAAATAATCAAGAGCTTTCGTTTAGAGAGTTAGTGTGCATACAATAGACCCTTATGGTTCGATCCTTCCACAAACAGTGCGCAATAACGAGAGCTTAGTGATCCCAGGCTTCCCTTTTTTAAAAAAAAAATAATTTAATTTAAGTTGTAACAGGCCAAACACTTAGCCCTTGTGATAGTTGTCTATCGTAATTTACGAGTAAAATTTGAAGTTAATAATCAAAACATACATGAACTATCATGTTTTCACAGGTTTCACACCTGATACCTAAACTATTAGTTGTTCCGTTTTTTTTTCTCTATCTATGTATATTAAACAATTTGAAACAGCATTTGGTCTTTTGACAGGTGGTTCTTCGCAAGGACATTGTCAATCTTATAGATTTTGTAAAGATTTTAAATGATGGGAGTACTGTAGTTTGTTTTACTACTTCATTATTCTTTTGCGATTTCTTTATTAGTTTCATTTTCCTTTATAACTTTGATTTAGCAATTATAATATTTGAATGTTCTATTGTGAAATTGGAGTTGTTACACAATTATAGGGGTATCTTGTGTCTTTTTCCCTTTGATTAAACAATACAAAGTGATAATGTGTAACTTTTGACCACTAGACTTAAAAAGGAAATATAAAAAAGATGACTTTAGTCTAAAGTAGTCTTGTGAATTGTCTTTTTATATTGTCCATTTCTCAATGTCTAATTATCTCTTCTTTCTAATACCAATGATATTCTCAATTCCTTTAAGCACTTCTCTTACACAACTTTTTGAAATATATCAATTTTTTACGATATTTGATTGGTCTTTTTTTTTTCTTTAGAAAAATGAGTTTTTGATTTATAAAAATATAGAAAATGATTTTTTTAATGAAAGCAGGAGAAACGAGTTCTGCAAGTAACATTTTAAAAGATCACTTATTTTGAAACAGAGAAAATACCATCTCACTAGTCAAACCAAATAGGAATCATAAAATTACATGTTTTGACTTTAAAATGGGCTGGTCTTTAACTTTTATCTTTTAAAAATAAAAATTTGTTCCTAACAATATGTAAGTTTTTTAGCAATTGAAAATCATCTCTAGACATAATTTATAAAATATTATAATATGAAAATATAAACTTTTGTCCTTCTCCGAAAACAATTATTCAAAAGTGCAAATGACCAAATAGAAACCACACCTAGTGAGACATTATTAGTGGCCTTATCTTTTACAACTTTACAACTCTCTACTGAAAAAGAAAAAGATTATCTTATTTCAACCTTTCATTTTTCTTCATTATTAGTTTGATGTAAATTGTTTCTCTTGAGAAGTTGAAAGGAATTATTTATTTTGAACTACTTTGGCTTTGATTAGTGAGAATGGAAAGGGGAAAAGAAAATGAAGGACAAACAAAAAGGGAAGATAACAAATCATTGGTATGTTTGATTATAATATTTAATTTTTTTATTCATTCACATAATTAATTTACTCTTGTAAGCATGTTTGTTGCTTTATGTAACTTAGATCGTGAATGTAATCTTTATAACTTATAGGGATCGATGATTTAATCTTTGTTTATATACACTAAATCATGTGCTATAGTTGAATTTATCAAATTCATATTGATCTTGTTAATGAAATGACAATGAAATAAATCACAAAAAAAAAGCAAGGTAAAATGAATATAAGGGTGGTTCATGAGAATTAACCTGAGGTGTCAGATATCCCGTAGAATTGATCGAGGTGCACGTTAGTTGGCCTAGACTCCATAGTCATAAAAAAATAAATGAATATAAGGACAAGAATATAATCAAACCCTGTATTAGATCTTGAGAATCGTGCCTAGGTGGCCTAAGTAAAACGTGTTCTGAATGGTGAACTGGGAAACAAAGGGCTTTTTGCTTTTAAGACTTAAGGCGTAACAGACCAAATTAACATTTAGCTTATCTATTAGTGCATTTGTGATAGTTGCCTTTTGTAATGTAAGAATAAAATTTGGAGTTACTAATCAATAATATACCTGAACTATCATGTTTTCCGAGTTTCACACCTCAACTATATATCTGTGTTCCCTTTCTCTATCTGAACACTGAACTATATATTATCATGTATGTATTAACATAATTTGAAACAACATTGGTGTTGTTGAATGCCTTGAATCGGACCCGCTACAAACAGAAAGGACGGGGGTC